GCGAAAAGCTACGGATTGTAGCGACGGCGTCGGTCTCGTATCGTAATGCCAATGACGCATCAGTACAGCGGCCACACCGCCGGTTTGTCCCGCTCACCGGTCCTCTATCAAATAAATCTTTACCATGTAATTTACATCTTTCCAATCCAATTAGGAAAAAACGACTGTGAGTGAAAACCAGATGTTGTCATCGCATGATGGTGTAACAATTCTTGCGTCAAAAGACTTTATACAAAAAATACAATATTATACGAAAAACAACGATTATACACGAAAGCAAACAGAAAAGTCGTCAGTTATACAAAAAACAATAATTCATTATCAATATATTGAAAACAGAGCTGCAGTATAAAGCGATCAGTTAACCCGTATTGATCCTACTGATAATAATAAATCCGAGGGAGACGGCGCATTGGATTTCACCATTAATAGAGTTCAAAGTCCACATAACGTGAACGAACTGCATTCGATGCAGACATGCACACAGCTGGCTCTATGGCTAGCGGGTATGAGCAACTAACACGGAGCTAACACCCGCCTGCATCTCTTTCCGGCCCATACTTGTATGCGTGTAAACGGAAAGGAGGTGTGTATTTCGCACTTTTCACTTCAAAACGCCAAAGTAGGGCTGCAGGGCAAGGGAGAGCGGGAAGGTGCAATGCCCTTAGCCCGCTCCCAAGTCGACCGAGCCTCCGGGGCTTTGACATGAATGTAGGATAAAAAACACAGGTAGTGGCTGTTATAAGTCGTTACCCTTGAAACTTTAAAGGACACTCTGGGAGCGACGTCCTGTGGGATGTTATAGTTTGTTGCAATTCAAGTCGACTTATTTGCCTGGATATTAATATTTGATCAAATTATGCTCGTTGTGTACCAAGAGGAATTAACATTTTTTCCTACTCTGAGATACAAAAACACTAGTTCCATTGGTTATCTGTATGTGATAAGTTTGAACCATTGTACAAAAGATTCGACGGCTAAATGCTTATACAAAAACATATCGTCGTCTTTTCTTTTTCAATGATAACGAGAGAGATGTCAATATATATCTTTAAACCGATGTTTCGGCAGACGACACTTAAGTTGCTGTTACATTAGATTAGATGGAATCCGAGTTGGGTTCCTCAATCGCCTCGACAAACGATTGACATCGGAACCTTGACGCTATAATGTGAAACACGATTGTTTTGATTTCAGTCTGATTGGTTTGTCGCGTCTGTTGGCAGCGAAGGAATCAGGTTGACATATATCAAAACGATTGGGATTGAAGTACTGATTTACCGTGAAATTCCACTAAGATTTGTTTAAAACACATTGTCATCTCAGATTTTTCCAAGAGACTTGTTGGACTAGGGTGACAATATTTCATTAATTGTTAATTCTTGTCCTTTCAGAAGAATATAACTAAAATATAGGTTAATATTGAGCAGAAAAATTCTAAACGTTTTGATAAAAGTAATCTATGTGGCGTGATATATTAATTGAAATGAATTTAGATTATTTGAAACAAATAAGATCACGTATTGACCTCGCTTTTACGTCAATACGAGGTTATCAATACTATGTTGAAAAATTATATCAAAATTACAATAACTAACCTTCAGATTGCAGTTGTCTTCTAAAAGTAATGCACATACGTAAATGTTTATCGCATACAATACAAATATTATCCTTAATGCATTTTAGATTTATACCAAAATGCCATTAAATTGTATAACAAATAACATTGACTTTTAGATCTTCTAATAAATTATTTCAAGTTTGAATAACGCGGACGATTACAAAACCATAAATATGTTCAAGTCGAATTGATAAAATTAATAACGATGTTCATTTGATTGTGTGCGCTGACGTCAGTCTTCTGATGGAAGTCAACAGGGGTACGTTTTAATAACGTCAATAAAGTCCTGATGATGGAAAATGTTCTAATCATAATAAAGATTGCCCGTAACTAATAGAGTAAGTATTTTATGGTGTGTTTGGTTACAAATTCAAAAACTACTGATCCGATTTTAAAACTATTTTACTAATAGCATGTGATTCAAGCTGTATGAGTATGTTTTATCACTAGCTGTTGCCGGTGACTTTGTCCACGCAATGTTAAAATAAAAAAGTAACCTATATGTCCGTCTATGTCGGCGACCCTTCAGTGACAGTCCGGTCGAAATCGGCCCAGCCGTTTCGAAGATTGCCAGAAACAAACGCGGCTTGCGGATTTGCGGACAGACTATCAAACTGACAGACAAATATTTTTTCAAATGCGATTTTCACAAATACATCATCTTCCCAAATTTTGGATATTTTCTTTTGATGGTACAAACAGACACTCCAATTTTATTATATGTATAGATTAAAAGCAAAGCCAGAGATGGCTAATGTTTGATAAATTGAAACGAGAACATTTTAAACTACGCATAAGTTTATAGATGCGAAGTCGTTCTTTATGTTATTGTACGATCAATGTTATAATAATATTGCATTAAGTTTGAATTCTACAAGAAACAAGTAGACATTGTCTTCAAGTATTTATATTGGAGCTTTATAATAATTTATAGTTTTACTTGTCGACATTCTAACTATTTATTAGATAGAAGTAATTGCTATAAACTGTAGAAAATTGTTTAAAAATTTAACAGATTACAAAAACTATTTTGTTTATGAATTACTTGGAGATACTAAACGTATGCTTAAAGTGGTTACCCTTGAGGTTTTAAGTGATTAGTAATATAAGACTAGGCTTTATACGTTTGTTTCGTCGATTTACTTTTTATTAAATGTAATAGGTATATGGTTATTTCTTATAAAATATTTTAAAAGACCAACGAACTTTAGTTCTGTATAGTACATTGATTTTTGGCGTTCAGTTCCAACAATGAATTATTAAAAATTGCAAATTCGCCTCATCGAATCTATAAATGCCAATAAGAATATCTAGACAGTCGAAAACGAGTCGAACGACTGTCTGAATTTATTGGCAATTTTAGATTTTGCAAAATCCAACTTTATGCGGTTGGTATAAAGGTTAATTTCTGTTATCAACTTGTAGAAAGTTAAGATGTTTTAGAATAATCGAAGCATTGATCAGCGAGGCCCGTTGTTAGAGGTTTTCGCGATCCAGTTTAACGACTTTCCACACAATTGGGGTAATTCGATTAGCTCAAGTTTCATATAACTTAATTATAAGTTTGGGACAGACTTCATATACGTTTACATTACCAAATTGTGAATGAATAAAACAATCATTGATAAATAATCGTTCGACAATACTTTGTGTAGAATTG